CATATCATAACTAGTTCCATTGAAGTGGCTGTTTGTAAAATTTTGTGCGGTACCCATAGAAAAACGACTACCAGATTTAGTGTCTCAGATTATAAAAAGTAATGTGGCGGGGTTCGCAAAAGAGAGTATATTTTATTGGGTGGGCGTGCGCTAAGGTTTTGTCCAAGGTAAATTGAGGATTTGGTTTCAATAAATGAATTATTGATGTAATAATTTGTTCGGGTGGGCTGATTGACTTCATAATAATCGATTGAAAATTATATAAAATATTATCATTTTCATCTAGAAGACTTTTCTGCTAAATTAAAGTACATATTGATGTAAGAAAAATGTATGACTTCACCATATCAGATCTTCCAACAATGAATGAACGTCTGAAAAGCCTGCAAGAATCACTGATACTACCAGTGCTTATGACCTCGTCGAAAGGAAACGCTTGGGTTTGACTATAATCAACACTGCTTATCCTTATCAATGATTCACAAAAGTCTCATGCAAACTTTGAAGGTCAACACAATTTTTTTTTGTCATAAAAAATGTATGCTTCAATTTCTTTTTTTTTCTATCACCCACTTCATTTATTTCCCAGTTTCAGAAACACCCTCCACTTTATGAAACCCGAAATAAGTACTATCAATTCTTTAGAAATTTGGAAGGCGTGGTACTTATTATACGTGCACGTAAATGTATACTGATCTGGCCATATAATAATAATAATAATTATTATAAATTGGCTTATTTTTCGGAACTAGCACAAAAAAGCTATCAACAATGTATATATACAATGTCATTCATAAAGTCGGCATCATATGGAAGAAACTTTTAATAATTAGTGATTGAAAGTTAGTAGCATGATCAAACTACTAGAATGGAATGGTTTTGTCGGTGATAATTTTTTTTTAATATCACAGACATTTCATAGAAATCGAAAAAATATCAAAAACTGAAGTTGTTAAAACGTTCATATTCGAGACATAATATATGTATGATTTCAATAGAAACAACTTTTCTCAGTGAACTTTCTTGAAATTCAAACCAATTTCAGTGATTAGGTTATTTGAAAAAATGTAACTTCTGACATGTAGCGAAACTCACGTGACCCCGACCGAGTAGTCCATTTTTCATATTTTTTAAGCAAAACTTAACGCTTAGGTCGAATTTCGAAATGAATTATTATCTTCAGAAATATGATTCTTTTCAGAAAATAATAATCCCCACTCAAAATGTCTGTTGTGTTTGATGCAAAGTTCATGTACGGTCTATCATTCAGGAGCGAAATTTATTTGAATCGATTTTTTCACTACTGGAACGATGCCAAAGTGATCTAATTTCAAAAGAAATCATTATTAAAAGTTTTTCAGATATGATGCCAACTTTATGAATGACACTGTATATGTGAAAAAGTAGTAACTTTTTTCCCGTTAGAAAAAAGTAATTTATGAAAAGTGATATTTTATAACCTGTCAACAGAGAAGAAATTTCAAACTTTATTCCCGTCACAGAATATATCTATTTATATATCAAGGGAGCAAAGTTATCCATTTCCTCCCGCTTGCGAAGTCTGATTGAACACACAGGAAATGAACCTTTGCTCCCAATATATATACAGGGTGAGTCATGACTATAACCAGCCATAGCCTAACGGCAGATAAAGGAAGTCGGGCAGAGGTGAGTTGATATAAAAGTGACAAAATCTTTTTGCCTATTCGTAACAGAAATACAGGGCAATATTTGTATTCGGGGCGAAACTTTGATGAACGATATTTCAGCAACGTCTTCATGTTATCGCTTGGAATAAATCAGCAACTCACCTCTACCAGAGATAAGTTACCCTGTGGGTAACTTATCTCTTCCTCTACAGACACTCCATAATATGGTCTACTATGGAAATCCAGAGCTTGACTTGGGAAATTCATTTTCTTTATAAATGTCATAATTTCGACTTTCTGGATCGTATTTTTGAAAAACTCCTCGCAAAATACCGATGAACCTTTCAATGATTTCGCCACATGCATATTATATAGTCAAATCGTTCGACCAATTCATTTAAATCCATTTCTTGCATATAGGTGTATTGTAAGAGTTGGGAAAAGGCTCTATTCGATAAAAAAAATCCAGGACCGGACTAGATTTTCTGGAAAAGACCTTTGAAATATGAACATAAATAATTTCCCATTGAAATCTGCTTCTACATGTGAAAATGTGGAAACATTATTGTACTCAATATGAAGAATTATCGCTTAGGCGCAAGATTTCTATTCGAATAAGATATACGTGCCTACTTATACTACCTACATATAGAGGAACTTTTGGAGAACTATTGAATATGATCTCATTGCATGTAAACTCTCTTAATCAGCGAATTGAATCGTGAGTTTGGTGTTTTCACAATTCAGTAAGCACTAAAAAAGAAGGCTGTGATGGATGCGTAAGCAAATGGATTGAAAGAGGTATTTCATTTCAACAGGATGGGGCACCTCCACATCACTCAATACAAGTTAGAGAATACCCCGATTCTCTAATCGCTGGATATATGTCGTGGTGGCCCTCATGCTTGGCCTTATTCTAGGTCTCCTAACAATATTAGACTATCATCTATGGAGACATATGATACGATTGGTATATCAGACTGAAGTCAACATCAGAGAGGAACTGAGGGAGAGGATAGTTACAGATTCAGACATGATCACAAATAACAGGCAGAAAATGTGAAGAAATTGGAGGACATTTCGAGAATCTTCGTTGAAGATTGTTAAGGTATAGACAAAGTTTTTTCGCAAATTATAATTGTTTTGTAGTTTAAAAAAAAAATCAAGTCTAGTCCTGAATTTGTTCATTGAAAAAAACCTTTTCCCAACCTTGCTGGTATATCAATATACAAAAAAATGGTTTCTTTTTGAAATTTTTTTACTCAATCGGTTCGAAGTGTGCCGTACAAATTGAAAAGCTGCACTTGTAGTGTTTTTCCCGATGTTGCTGATTCTGATGACAGTTTTTGAAAAATGCGATCCAGAAAGTCAAAATTATGACATTTATAAGGAAACTGAATTTTCCAAATCCGTCTCTGGAGTTTTTTTCCATAGTAGGCCATCTTATAGAGTGTTAGTAGATGTAAGTTGCTGGTCATTTTCAGACGATAGCATTCGTGAAATATCGTTCATCAAAGATTCGCCTCGAATTCAAATAATGGCTGGCAAGTCATGTCTCACCCTGTATATATGATTTTATCCACGAACGCATTTATTTTAGAGTGTCGTGCTTCAAGCGGTCTATCTCTCGAGTCTTCGAAATATCCAGAACAATATAATGTTGACGCGTTAATTTGAGTCACTCTGTATACCTATACACTCATTACTATTCAAGGTTTTCACTTGTATGCATTTACATTGACCGTCTTTGATGAGTTTGGTAAATAGAATACATAAAATGACATCATCCAAGTTTGTTTTTTCTTAAATCGATAGGAATCATTGATTTCAAAGACGCACAAGACTATTAAGGTAGAGGATATTTATTATCATAAGTAGGTATACACATACAGGGTATATACGGTATCAATATTATATCAAGTGCCTATTTTTCAAGTCCAAATAAGACTTTTCCTTCCTATAAACATATGTATCCGTCGAACTACAGAGCATTATTGAAGTTTCAATTTGTCTTTTATTTTTTCTTTATAGTTCTTTCAGTTTCCGATAGATATTCAGATCAAATTTGGATTTTAGGGTTGACATCATAGTAGGTATACCGAGTGATTGTGACAATCTACAGGGAGATATTTTTTCAGGTGCCAAGTCCTCTTTCGTTACCGTTTTATCGAGAAAAAAAATGAAATAATTTTTTGTAATTCGCTATTATAGACCTATTCAAAATATTCAACGAAATAATGAAATAGTGAGTAGAGACTGCGCTATTATATTATTTCGACACTGATTTGTTTTTTGAGACAATTGACATTATTTGAAAGTTGCGGAAATGTTGAAATGTTAAACGCTCTCTGTATAGATCGGTACCGATCGATAGCGTTTGTGGACACATGTTTATAGGAAAGAAAAGTCTCATTTTGACCTCAAAAATAATAAACCCCTGAAATCTTGATACTGATGAATTTCGAAACATCATGTATAAAAGAGGCGAGATCATTAAATGACTGTCTAAAAGTTGAGAAGAAAACTTAACATTCCTTATTATTTGGGATTGCAGTTTTGTTGAAGCTTTCGAGTCCTATTTATTTTGCGGCTTCTCATATCAGGAACTCGCATCATCATCTTAGTAATATCTATATAAAATATTCAACCACATCCCTGAATATATTTATCGCATCTTCGTGCGTATATATATTCTCCTTGATTACAGATTTCAAAAATGAATAATGTATTAGGTCCCGGACCCCCCGAATAAATGACAGCCTCTGAATCAAACTTTTTCATTTCAGTTCGAAAAAATCGAATTAGCAAGTTTTTTTCTTGGACCTCCCCCCCCCCGAAAACAATCCTGGGCACGGCACTGGTCTGAACCATACAGCTATACAGCTCACTAGATTTTCTCTCCATATTTAGCAGACAATGGTCTGAACTGAAGAATTCGAATGCTGCAAATCATTCGAACTTGAAATGAGCCACCCTGTAACAAACTCCATTTAGGGCTGCGATAGCCGCAATGGAGAAGGGTTTTGGTGCTCTTCAGAAAATTTCTTCATAATGAGAAGAGATTCATATGAATTAAATCCTAAAATTATTTTGGGACACCTTGTCATTTTGGTTGGATACTTTTTGGACGTTGGCCGTTGGCCTATTTTTGCTAAAAGGTCAAGTGGTCGAGTGTCAAGGACGACACGTCCTAGTACGTCAGTAAGCTCCATAGCACCATAGCACACTTCTTATATATCTATGACTATGACTACAAATAGCAAATATTCATCCGGAGGAGAGCTCAACTCAAATACGAAGTAGAATTTGTAATCACAGATTTTAACCTCAATTGATTCAGTTTTTTTATTTATGGCTAATCCAAAATCAGAAATTGCTCGCCAGAGCTACATAGATGAAGAACCATTCAAAGGAATAAAAATAGATGATAACTCCATTCTAGACTCCCTGCAAGGTCGTCATCCATGTCCAAAGTGTGGTAAATCCAGAAAGTTTTATTGTTATTCCTGTTATGTTCCTATAGCAGAACTAGAAGGGAAACTGCCAAGTGTGAAAGTAAATACTCAACTAATCTATGCCGTTCTAATCTGCAATACAGTATCTTGGTTTCTAGCTGCCAATCAAAATAGATATCATCAAACACAAGCATGAAATTGACGGCAAAAGTACAGCAGGACATGCTGCAATACTAGCTAGTAGAGATGTCTCAATCTACACTTACCCAGACATTCCAGACTACACAAATCAACCTGTTGTTTTGATATTTCCTAGTCAAAATGCCATCAGCATTAGCCAATTAGTTTCAGGTTCACAGAAACAAGTGTTAGAATACCAAAATGCTCCATTGGATGAAGTGCCACAGGGATTCAATAGGAGCACCTTGATGAAGAAAATACCAAAAACTCGAGAAGATTATAAATTCCAAGGGAGATCACAGGAGTTGCCTTTCACTAAGGCTGTATTTATAGATAGTACTTGGAATCAAAGTAAAGGTTTGTTTTCACCATTTGTTCATTAAGTTTGCATTTCTGAGTATTCCTCATGTTAGGTATCTATAAGGACAACAGAGTGAATAACATCCCTTGTGTGGTTATTCAAAATCGTATCTCTCAGTTTTGGAGACACCAAAAAGGCAGCCCACGCTGGTATCTGGCCACTATTGAGGCAATTCACCAGTTTCTGATAGAAGTCCATTTGCACCGTTGGGGCCTGAATCCTGCCTACAAAGGCATCAATAATTGTTTCACTGAAAGTTGTCTCAGCCAGTTTGAGTTGCTGTACAGTAGTGATAGTGATGCTTATGATGGACAATATGATAACTTACTTTATTTTTTTCAGCACATGTATGATTTGATTCACAAGTATTATGAGCATGGTGAGTTGTATGCATATAAAAGGAGATTGAAATGAAAAATAAATATCACTAGATATCAATATATTGTTTCTATTTATCTCAGTTTGGACAGTCTGATATTTTTTTCAATGGTACAATGTGATTTCCAAGTAAACTGATAATTAATCCAAAAATTGGAACAGTAGGTATATCTTTTGGCATACAAATCAGTAATGAAAAAATCTATTCAATATTTTCTTCCAGTCTCAAATCAGAAATATTTTTGCAATTTTCACCAGTACACCCTAATCACACATTAACAAACCTTATTTGTTAATCTGTGCCCTAATATTCCTATATTCAAAAGTCTGCAAAATCTTCACTAAAACAGAAGGGCCTATTTTGCATCATTGTCTTAGTTTTAGTCTTAGTCACAGTCTTTGTTTTGATCATAAAATCAAGTTATGAACATACATTTCAATAGGTTCATGCAACATTTTTAGTCTTAATCATAATCATTAAATCATGACCTTGAAAGTTACAAACCACATAAGAAATGCGCATGTGTCAACCTTTCAACATATTTGACAATCACATATGACTTAATTTTGTGTTTGTCACCAAAAAATCAGTGCCATTCTGTGATGTGTCAATAATTGAGGTTGAACGAGAGAGAGAAAAGTTCTCTCCTTTCCATCTCTCTTTGTAATGCTACCAACGTGGCCGCATTGAAATATAGAGAGGTCCGATAAATCTTTCCTTGTCTAACATCTACTTGCACTTATTTCAATGCGACCCTGTATGTACTATTTCTATATATGGCGCATCGCCTATACGATATCTCAACAAGAATGGGACCAAAATGAGAGGTACTTTTTGAATCTATAAGGATGGAAAATTTGAAATAAGTACCCATATTGTCGTATTATTTTTTCCCTACGTCGGCATCAACGCCTATTGGTCGCTTTCGTTACCTATAGAGACAAAAGTTGGGCCCGCTTTAAGGACAGCGATGATTCATATATTAGTAGTAGATATATGGATGGAAACAGCCATATTGGTTTGACAAGTTTCGTATTACTTTTTCCTTACGTCCACATCAACGCCTATTGGTCGATTTTGTTACCTATAGAGACCAGTGGCGGCTCCTCAGAGGAGGCAACGGAGCCTCCTCAGAAATTCTCCTTAAACTGATATTATCTATACTTTCTCATTAAAAGGACACCAAAATACATGGATTTTGATTTTATTTCCTGTTTTTAGGTAAATATTGGCAACAGTGCTTACCCACGCATCACACGTTGAAGTCTGCAAATCACGCGTAAAATATTCAACTTGGCAACATCTATAGGAGGCTAGACTCCTTCACAATGCGCAATCGCGAATTGCGGACAATCCAGCGCGAGTGCATTGTTTATGTTAGGTTAATGGTTAGGGGCTCTATAAATTTCTGAAAAATGAGTGTTTTAAACGATTGCGATTTAGTGAAATACTTTTTGGTGAACCCATTCAGTGCTTTGTCTCATGAAGATAAATTAATTATGAAAAACAAACGTCCGACACCGGAATTAAAAAATCTGATTGTAACAGGTAACAAACAAAATCGTTCGTTCAATTCTGATAATTATAAAAAATATATCTGATTGACGGGATCTGAGGTAAGGAATAAGCTATTTTGTTGGTACTGCGTATCATTTTCAACCGATAAGTCATTATGTTGGGGGCGATTAGGATATAATGATTTGAAAAATTTGCCTCGCGGATTGGATATAGACACTGCAAAAAGCAGGAACACATCTCTTCAAGTATTAAGTTCAGGTTAACTGGTATACAGAATGTCATTAAAGCTATTGATTTGGGCGAGTCCTAGATATATGAATTTTGTTCTGTCACCAAAAAATCAGTGCCATTCTGTACTGTGTCAATAATTGATCCAATAAACCAGAGTGACAACATTCAAATAAATATATGACAGAGTAATTCCAATGAATAAATCTCTGCCTACTTCCATTTTCGAATTCATAAGAGATTTTTACAAAGGAAAACAATAAACTCAAACAATCCTAAAAAATTAGCTCAAAAACCTGCTCCAAAACAAAATATTAGAATTGACAGTTGACACCTCAGTTGACACCTTTGACGGATTGTCAAATCATAATTTTTGAGCCTAAAGACTGTGATGCATATATGTACTACTCTTATATGAAGCATACCTCTCCTCAAAGCTGGACCAACTTGTGTCTCTATTGGTAACGAAATCGAGCAATAGGCGTTGATGCCGACGTAGGGAAAAAATAATAAGGAACTTGTCAAACCAAGATAGCTGTTTCCATCCTTCACTTTCCGTCCTTATAGATTCAAAAAGAACCTCTTTTTTGGTCCCATTTTTGTTGAAATATCCTTTAGGCGATGCGCTATATATAGAAATAGTAGATATGCTGTGATGCATAAAGGTCCAAATATGATGAGTTAATATTCTATCAACCTTGGTTAAGACTTTGATTAAGACAATGAGGCATAAATAGGCCCTTTTCAAGATTAAAACCTATACAGATAATAAAAATCCACTTCCATCCCACCACACATTCACAATTTACGTAAATCCAACACGAACACGCTACCGTCCGACGCGCTGGCCCCCACCTTGTCCCCCCGCGAGTTCCAGCACACCTCGAAGATGCCCCCCGTGCCCTTGTAGCTGTGCACCAGCTGCCCCGATTGCGTCGACCAGATGTGGACGCACTTGTCGAAGCTGCCGCTGGCCAGAAACTTGCCGTCGGGGCTGAAGGCAACTGAATAGACGGGCTCCGTGTGTTTGGTGAGGGTGTGAATGCAAGCGCCGCGCTCGACGTCCCACAGGCGTACGGTCGAATCGAAACTGGCGGAGGCTGAAGGAAAGAGTTGATTATACAAAACCAGGCCGGGATTCACACTAGCGTATGGAGAAAGGAGGACGTAAATGACCAACGTAGTGGGAGAACCCCGCCAAGCGCGATAGTTTAGTTTGTTTATGGCGGGCACAGATCACCTAGCGACGTGCGGGAAGAACGCAGGAGCGAAGGAGCGAACAATATTATATCATTATTGGCCTTAATTGGCTCCGAATTATGTATCCAGGGAAGGAGTGTATAGTCGGTTGACATTCAACTGTTTTCAGAATATCTACTCATTTATACTTAGTTACAGTTTGGTCTGTGTGCGTTGCACACATATAAAAATAAAAATGGAATCAAACTGTTGTGCAGAATGTACAAAAACGTTCAGCTGTTTTCAACATCTTAGAAGGCATTGTTTGAAGTCTCATCCAAATATGATAGCACCATCTTCTTTGTCCCACTCTTACTCCCTCTTAGTCCAATCTATATTACTCTCACTCACTTCTTTGAAAATCACTCTTGCTCTTATTCATCTCACTACTATTCTTGTCATTCATTTATTTCAATTTCACTATTTTTTCTTCACACTCTTTCAATTTTTATGTCACCCTTACTCTATTCTAATCAACTCCAACTCTTCTATCTCACTCTTGCTATTTTATCTCACTTCTTTCTGTATCATTCCTCTATTATATTACTCATAGATTTATTACTCTTCTATTTCATTATCAATATCCATTCATTATTACTCTATTATATCTAATTCTATTCTTTACATTACTTTCAATCTTCCTTATTGCACCCTTATTCTTCTTTAACTCACTCTTACTATTCCTTGTCTCACTCTTACTCTTATTTATTTCAATCTTACTATTTCTCAGGATGCAGTGGCGGCTCCTCAGAGGAGGCAACGGAGGCTGAGCCTCCTCAGAGATTCTCCTTAAACTAATATTATTTATACTTTCTCATTAAAAGGACACCAAAATACATGGATTTTGATTCTATTTACAGTTTTTAGTTGAATATTTTTGAATTGGCAACAGTGCTTGCCCACGCATCACACGTTGAAGTCTGCAAATCACGCGTAAAATATTCAACTTGGCAACATCTATAGGGGGCTAGACTCCTTCACATAGCGCAACCTACGCGCGCAATGCAAATGCCCGAATACGCCCGAATAGCATGTGTTTGTCCAGCGCGAGTGCATTGTTTATGTTTAAGTTAGGTTAATGGTTAGGGGCTCTATAAATTTCTGAAAAATGAGTGTTTTAAATGATTGCGATTTAGTGGAATACTTTTTGGTAACCCATTCAGTGCTTTTTCTTATGAAGATAAATCGACTGTGAAAAACAAACGTCCGACACCGGAATTGAAAAATCTGAGGTAAGGAATAAGCTATTTTGTTGGTACTGTCTATTATTTTCAACCGATAAGTCATCATGTTGGGGGCGATCAGCTATTGATTTGGGTGAGTAGAGAGTTGTTTTTCACAATAAATCTCATATCATTCAGCCTCCTCTGTCATGAAAGTCAGGAGCCACCACTGCTCAATCCCACTTTCACTCTTTTTATCCCACTCTTAATCTATCTCACTCTTGCTTTCATTCCTCTCGGTAGCACTCCTCTATTCTATCTACTTTTTCATCTCACTCATACTCTCTTCTATCTCACTCTCACCCCATTTCTTATTACTGTCTTTTATCCCATTTGTTCAGTCTCACTCTAACTTTGTTGCTCTGAATCTCAGTTTCTCTCTTACTTTCTGTCATTTTCATCCATAATTAGTATGTTCTACATACCCAGTATCAGGTTCATGTTGGGATTTTGGGTGCCTGGCCCTGTTGGCGACCATTTTATAGTGTATATCTCCTTGGAATGGGCTTGCAGATCATGAACACAGGTGTCATGTTTCATTGACCAAATTTTCAAGGTCATATCGTCGGAGCAGGAGGCCAGGAGTTGCCCCTGTGGGTCCCATTTGATAGCATTCACTTCATTCTGAACAAACAAGAAAATTTGCTCAAGAATCTTTCATCTAATAAGGATAACATTTTATACAGGTGGTATTGCAGTCAAGAACAATTGAGTGAAAAGGAAGAATAAATTATACACTAGTCTAGTTTGTTATCAATTAGTAATGGAGAAACACTTACTGTGTGTCCTTGGAAGGACTTGATAGGTTTGTCCATGGACAACTTGCACACATGAATGCATTGATCTGTGGAACAACTGGCAAAAGAAGTGTTGGTCTGCCAATCCACATCAAGAGCTGGTGCTGAATGGAAACTGAATTGTTGTGTGCACTGTCCACTAGCTGCATCCCAAATAATTGTTGTCTTGTCAACCTAATCATAAAAAAAATGTGAATGACCAAAGATGAAATTTCTGGATAGATTGTTCTCCAGTTTGGAGAAAACTCTTCTAGGAAAATGTGACCATTTTACTAACCCCTGCTGATAGAATGTAATTGCCTCTTTTGTTCCATTTCAGTGCAAAAATGGGACCTTTATGCTGACCTAAGGTACTTGCTAAACGCCCATCAGTAGTCCAAATTCTTGCATATCCATCATAACTGCCAGTTGCTAACAAACTACCATCACACTAAAGAGAACACCATTGAAACATAAAATGAACACCATTGAAACAGACTCACATTCCAATCAAGAGAAGTGACATCCTTATTGCTGGGCACTTCTGTGCCACCTTTCTGAATACAATGTCTCAGTACCAGTTGATTGGGACTAGCTGTGTTATCTGACATGTCCCATATCCTAGCAGTACTGTCTCCTGACCCACTGGCCAAGAGATCAGTGGTGGGGTTCCAAGCACAAATGAAAACTTCAGATTCATGCCCTCTGAGCACAGTGGCTTTTGATGAAGGTATTTCAATAGAGGTGTCCACTTCCATAGTTTCTGTTTGTGTGGATACAACAGCTAAAGCATAAAAAGTTTGTTGAAGATAAAATACAAATATTTGTGGATAAGTATTGTATTTATTTTACCTTCTTCTCCATTGGTTTCTGCTTGTTCTGTCTTGATAGCCTGCTGTTTCTGCTGATTTTGTTGATTCTGCCTACTAGCAACCACATCTGGCATAACAGCATCTATAAGACTCAAGCTCTCCACCAACCTCTGTTCAGTGCCATCTTCACCTATGCTTATTTCAGCTTCAGTATATTGCAGTCCCTTTTGGAGAATACTGAGTAATGCAGCTGGGGGTACCAAGGCACCATTTATATTGGATGAGGATATATGTGATTCTATTCCAAACGTGTATGCCGAATGCTGGAAACCTGGACATAAAAAACGATATTAATCCAAAATGGTTTTGAAACTGTAGGTGTAGGTAATACCGGACTCTTGTAGATATCTGTAGACCAGAAAATTCACTTCATCGCTTGAGAAACTCATTTTATGAAACCAAGTTTCACCTAAAAGTTCACATTGATAAACAAACAAATAATTATGTAGAGAAGAAAGGCAGAAAGAGCAGAAAATGGCAGAAAATAACACACCAATAATCCAATCGTCAAAGAAAACAGTGCATCAACAAAAAATAAACACCAAAACCTCTGTCAAAACACTAAAAAAACACGAAAAAAATGTATTGGTGTCAAAACTGTCAAACTGTTAACAGTCAAACCAGGAATTGTGAAGTGAGTAGTGATAGTTCTATGGTTTTATGGGTATCAATCTGATGTTCTGTGAATCTGACCTTGTCACTTGTCAACTACGTATGTAACGGTCAGTTACGTCAATTTTGTTTTGTTGTTGTTCCTTGTTCCACCTGTTTACATAATTTCAAATCCAAAAAATAACAGGCAGATGTGCGTCTAGAAGATTTCCATTTCAAATGTTCGCACGTTTTCGATACAGGCACAATGAAATTATTATTTTTCCATACTTTTGTATCACTGATTGCTGTAACCGTAGCTTTCACTGAAATACTCTCGGACATCGGTAAATATTTCGGATATGGTAAAGAAAGTCAAGACGATCAGTATGAGGCAGAAATTTACAACCAAAAAGTTCCCTATGAAATATCTACCATTGATGAAAGGTTCTTGAATGAAGCAGCTCAACTCACAGGTGTAGCTCTCTCTGAATTGGATAAGTGCCAACAAAGAGTAAGTCTATTTTCCTTTTTTTTATTCATCTTATAAAGCTTATTTTCAGGTGGTTCTCAAATTGAAGTCAGATTGTGCTCTAATGAATGACGAACAACTGGCAAAAATGGCAGTACATTTACTAAATTGCCAGTCACATATTGAAGGTCGCCAAATCTATCCTTGCTCTGAGGAAATGAGCATTAGGGAATGCACAACCAGTATGGACTCTGATACTTGGACAAGCTATCACCTTATGACCAACAGGGCCAAAGCTGTGTGTTACTCAATAAGACAATCACAGTTCAGGGGCCTAGCAGAGCATACTGTGAATCATTTGATGGAAGCTGCAAAGAATCAACTCAGGAATCTGGGTAAAATATCTGATACACAAAATAACTTGAAGAATATAGCTGAAAAGACTTATGATGCTTTGAATGAGGGACATCAGTTATTGTCCAAACAGCAAAATGACATGCAAAAGGCACAGTTTTATGGACAGTTAGCTATTGAGGATAATATAAGAAGATTAGCAGATGAGAAACGTTTGATCATGGAGACACATAATAATCTAGTAGCATTAACTCAAAATGTTCAAGAAAAGTTGGGAAGTTCCTTAACACAGATGAGTGAACAGGCTGGAGAAAGTAGGCTCAATCACAAGGAGTTGATTGATGATTTGCTTGCAATTCAAGAAAAGGCCAAGGAAATCTTTCTGAAAATAGGTACAATTGAAATTTTGTGGAAACAATATACCTAATGCTTCTCATAATGCTTTCTCATGGTTGGGGTGTAGTATTGATGCATTCATGTATTTTATCTTGGCATGATCACAAGTATCACAACTTTGTTTTTTTGCAATCATTTATTGGTTCCTAGATTGATTTGATTTGTAGGATGATATACTTATGGAAAGTAATCCTTGTTAGTAAATTTATGGTCTGCATAAAATTGTAAAAGGCTCAAAGAGCAAATTTTTTGTTGTAAAATTCAGTCTGTTGTTAAGTTCACATAGTTTGATGCATATTATTTGGATATTTCTGGTTTTGAGTGTGATGAGTATTTCCAGAAATTAGCCAGGGATTTCAGCTAGTTTGTGAAGCCCCTCATTGTTTGATGTTTTGAATGGTTGGTTTGTTGCATAATTTTGATTTCTCATATATAACATTGGGGATTTATTGGGTTTGATTGGATTTCTGTTGTATGTAAAAGTATATTATGTCTTGGATTGCATGTCCTGCTTGGGCTAAGGTAACATTAATCCCAGCATTAATCCCTTGTTCTTGTAGAAATAGGTATAGGTCAAGGAACAAGGTATGATCATTGTTGCAACAAATACAAAGATAACTTGCATTACCAATGTTACCATGTGTAGTTATTAATGTACTTGAGACCTCATTTCTGTCAATTTTCTTTGATTGTAATTGTGTTGAATAATACTTTGATTGTTTTTGTGTAGATTAATCCTCTGATTATTTCTAGTTTCAATTGACTGGATCTTTTGTCTGAATTTCCCATTCCTTCTCAGAGTTTGCATCTAATTTTGCAACCAAATGATAAATTAAAATACTATTCCAGTGTTTTACAGGCTCCTTTAATCCTTCAGTGATCTGAAATGTATCTAAAAAGGATTTCAATGACTTGTGAAAATCTCTGTTGATGGTCAGTAAATCTACAATGGGATAAATGCTAAATGATGAATTCAAATGCCTTCTTATTATCAATTTTTTATTTTTATGTATCCTTCAACAGTCCCCTCATATTCATAATGATTGAATTAATTTGGCAGCTTCATCCTTTGAACATGAAATAATAATATTTTTGTATATTGCTTGTATTCAAGTTATTGTCTATAAGCCATGGAAAGATATAAAAAAATTAGATCCATTACTTGTCTTTTATACCTCTACATGATTTCACTTCAGTTAATCTCAATTCGGACATAGGTATATCTTGTAATTGTAACATTTTGATAGAGAAGATACATATACATGCATATACACATGAAGTTGTGTGTAAAATGTAAATCTCAGATTTTTCGCAAATTCAAAAGAGCAAACTGTGAATAACAATTTATACATAAACTGATAGTCCTAACTTTGAATTGTGGTTAAAATAATGTTATAAATTGTTATACCCAAATAGTGTGACAAAAATGGATTAATAGATATTGTGTAAAAGTAGGCAACCTGTACTAACTGGAATCTTATCTGCATACCCAGGTATTCTTCTTTCTTGTATTCTATCTTGGCATGATCACGATTTTGGTTTTTTGTTGTTGCAACTATTTTAATTTGTAGAATGATATATTCTTATAGCAAATAAGTGATCTTTGTGAATTAGTTTACTGTATAAAATTGTAAAAGGCTCAAAGAACAAATTTATCAATGTAAAATTCGGTCTGTAAAACGTCAGACCTTTCTGCTAAGATGTTCTCTCCTTACTCTAAAAATGTATAATTTTACAATGCCTCTTGACACTTCCTACCTTGGTCCTATAAGTGGTGTTGATGCTAAACACATTATGGTTGAGTGGGGTGGGGGGGGGGGGGGGCGAAAGAAAAAGGACTGCTAATTCATTTTTCCTTTGAAACTAAAGGGAGAAAGTGTAGGCCGTCTTTTGCACGGCCTTGAGGGGAGGGCATTTTCAAATGTTCTGTCTTTCTCGCCAATAATCTGATTTAAAAAATGTGTAATATCTATTAGGGCTATATGGCACAACCAATATTAACCACCACAATGCCCGCAGTGATTTAATTCCATGAAAATAGCATTGATTTTATTTCCAGTGATCCATGGTTTCATTGAATTCATTTTTCAGCGCTGCGGCGGTAGTAACTTTGTTATTTCTTATGGAATACCCTGTATTCAATTGCATATTCAGATTAACCTCCAAGAGCTAATTTCATCAATTGGAGTCTATCGAGAATGATTACAGAGATATAGGGTGTTCAAAATCGAGATTTTTCAACTTCAGTATTTTTTTGTGTCGAAACTATTCCTAATCGGTCAAAACGGCTTCCATGTCCCTATCTTAACTTTTGATTAAATATCTACTGACATTTAATTGGACCTGTTCTGAAATACTGATCCCATATTTGGAGTGCAGCACCCAAACATACCCTGAAACTGTTGGATTCTGTCCAAAAAAGGGCAATTCGTCTCGTGGGTGATGCCTCGCTCACAAACTCACTCACTTCTCTGGAACACCGTAGAAAAGTTGGCGATCTGGCTCTATTTTATTGATATTTCCATGGACGATGCTCTTCTGAAATATCGACAATTGTTCCTCCCTTGGCAGTCCCCGCGAGATTAACCCGTCGAGTTGAGGCTTTGCACCCCTTCGTGGTTACTTTGGAGACCTGCAGAACATCTCTTTCCAAAGACTTGTTCATCCAACGAACAGCGAGGCTCTGGAACACATTGCCAAGGGGGGTGTTCCCCGAGGCATATAACCTCCAGAAATTTAAGAAGAACACCAATTCATACCTTATTTCCCTTTGTTCTGACGATGTCCTCACAACTTTACACATATCCGTCTCTTATTGAGATTGACAAATTATTCCAGATCAGTCATCTTCACTTATTCTACAACAAAATGAAGACTTCAAAAAACAGTACCGATCCACGTTGAAGAGCCTCCGAGAGATGAACGAGACCGTCCACACCTTGGTCAAGCTGGTCGGAGGCACCTGGAACAACCTGGAAGAAAAGCTGACCTGGATCACCTCCACTTTGGGTGGCACCGATCTGGCATTAGAGCGGATCTACCTGGTGCTCTGGCATTCCGCTTTTTTGATGGTGGCGATGGTGACATGCGCCTTTCTGGGCGCTAGACCGAGCACTAGGCTGGTGGTGGCTGTTTTGCCGCCCGTCAATTTAGGGGTCGCTCTGTATGGGGATCACAGATATTTGGATTCCTCTTCACTTTTGGGTGTCATTGGGTGCTTTATTATAGGTTGGTATTCATTGTGAAACACTTGAAAACCTCTGTCCTTTGATTATTATTAATTACTAGTGTTTCTAGTTCTTTTGTTTATTGTTTATTCAAAAACTAGCTTCCAGTCAGAAATAAAATTCTGGTATGAGGAAGTTGCTTACAAACAACAATAATAAAATAATATAAGGTGACAACAACAACAACAAAAAAATCAAAAAAATCTAAAAATGCTAAATCAATCAAGTCATAAAAATAGCCACAGGGACTAATCAGTAGATGGCAAAGTATAAATTTTATCTATTTCGTAATGAAATCATGTGTTTTTTTAATTAAATTTTGAAATATGTCTGCAATTTTTTATATTATGTGGTAATTTATTGAATTCAGCTAGAGCAGCATGAGTAAATTTTTTTTGGCCAAATATAGAAGTAGCAGAATCAATATGAAATAAGTTTGATTGTCTCATGTGATGACCATGAATTTCTGAGTTTCTTATCAGAATAAAATTGGATTTCAGATTATTGTTAATTATATTATATGAAACTTTAAGAGAATCTATTTTATATAATTCATCCAATGAAAATTTTTTTTTTATGGCATACAGATCATTTGTTGGGATATCAAATGAGAGGCGATATAATACTTTTAGTGCTTTCTTATAAAGTGCAGATATTTTACTGAAATAATTTTTTGTCAAGTTTAGGACATCTTCGCAAAGCTCCAATGATCGGAGATAATTTTTGTATCAGAACCTCTATATGCTTGTCCCATTTCAATTTTTCATCAATCCACATACCAAGATACTTTATTTGTGTAGTTCTTTTCAATACTTTATTTTTAATTTGGAGATTGAGACTAATATTCTGTTTATTTTCTTGATGGAATATTATATATTCAGTTTTATTGGTATTAATTGATAAAATGTTTGAATGAAGCCATTTTTCAAATTTTTTCAAATCTTCGTTAATAATATTTTCTAGAATGATGGGGTTTTTGTTTTCGTATAAAAGTACAGTATCATCACCTGACAATCCAATTTTAGAAATATTTTGAATATATAATAAATACAAGATGGGTCCTAGAACAGATCCCTGTGGAACACCTTTACTTATTGGAAATTTATTAGACTCTGACATATTACATTTAGTGCTGATTGTCCTATTCGCAAGATAAGATTCTAAAAGATTTTTAACAATGCCTCTGAGTCCCATCGAGTCCAAGTATTCTAAGAGATTCTTATGATCAACTGTATCAAATGCCTTTTTAAGGTCAATGAAAATAGCTACAATGTAATTTCCCGTATCAAGTCTTTCTTGAATTTTTTGTACTACTCGTAGTACTGCTGCTTGAGTACCACTATTTTCTTGGAATCCGAACTGATTATTATCAAAACTATATTTTTTGTTTATGAAATTTACAATACGCTTCTTCAAAATTTTTTCAAGATATCAGCAATATTTGAGGAAAAAGGCAAATTATTGCAGATTTAATGAAAGCAACTGACTTCCAGCATTGCACTACTACTTTCATTTGGGCAAAATGTTATTCTTCAGTAACGTACAGCCGTATTCAAAAAAAAGCGTACAAGTATATTGGAGGGAGAAATTAACGTCATCCTATTGGCGTAAAACTATCGGGAATGAATGTTTACCAAATGTTGACAGTAGAGTAATCATATAGGTTCTCAAAAACACAAAGCATTGGCTGAGCCAATTTTACACAACAAGAACTAGAATGCCGAAATCTTCTATGTTTAATACTTGTACGCTTTTTTATTGAATATGACTGTACCACATTCAAAAGATGTTGCACTATGTTTTTCTTTCCATTTCTCAAGCAGTACTAAAAAAAAGATGGATGACAAATTTGGTGAAAATCAATCAACTGAATGTACTATACGAAAAAGAACTCTTGACAAGAGCTTCTACTTTAGTAATTTACATACCTTTTTAACGTTAATATTTCGAAAACTATTGAATTTAGGAGTGGAGTGTATTAGATGAAACTGTTGAGAATTTATGGAAAGATTGCGAAAATTGAATAGTATAGGAGGTGTTCTATTCGAAAAAATGTTCCAAGATGGCGCTCAGCCGCCATTTTTAAACTTTAAGCTCCCGTCATTTCATGAAAAAGTTGGTTATCGTCTCCTATTTGAACCCTCTAAATTTCGTAGCGATATACCAGGTGACTCAAAAATTTATAAGGGGTGAACAGACTTAAGACGTATGATCACTAGGTTTCCATAATGGAAGTCAACCCAAAATGAGACATTTTCAATTCTCAGTGACAGATTCATGTTAAACTGTGACAATTATATGATGAAACAGAATGGTTGCTGATGTCTATCTTTATTTATTTATTTACGAAAAAGAATACAAACGGGACTAATGCAAAACAGTACCTATTTGGAGAAATGTGTAATGTGTGGTATTAAACAGAGGTGACATAATTTTATTCAATACATATCAAAAGTTATCAAAATTTATCAAAATCAAGTCAGTGAAACAAGAAAATGTTTTTTCAAAATGTAGGAAAATTTTGAAGTGAGTAGGAGAAAATCTCAATATAATTGAATTTGGCAACATGTTGTATAATATTTTGCATCTATGCATTGGAGAGTTCAATAAATAATATGTTTGAGATTGTTCCTAACAAAACTTCAATCACGAAATATGGTAGATGCAGAGAAGTGTGAACGAAATAATATTGGCATACGAAAATCTTGAAACAGTCGACTTTGATTCCAGCTCAAATGCTTGTGATATGGTCTTCAAACTTGGCACCCACAGTACGTCATGCCATAGCTTGGAAAAAAGACCCCCAACAAGACATATCCGACCAAACCCCCACCCAAATCAACGGCTCCCCCAGAAGCCATGTCTCGTCCACGATCTACAACCGCGATTACGACGATTTCTGCCACGAAAAAGAAGAGTTGGACGAAACTAGCGACACATTCAAAGATTTCGACTTCACCCCGCCAGTGTCGAGGAACGGGCAGTACTCGACCAACGGGCAGTACTCGACTTACTCGAGGTCGAGGAGCCGGAGCCAGACACCCTTGCTGTTGAACAGCAGTGTGAAGGGTCCTTGCAGGGCGAGAACTAGGGTTGGAACGCCCTGTAAGTTGTCTTCGCTGCCCGGCAGGGACTTTTGCTACAGACATCAGAGCGGGGATTCTGTGATGGGGTGATGGTTCATTTTTAATAATGTTTGGTATGAATATGCAACATCTTTGCTCTTCATGAATGTGTCTTCATTTACTCCGATCTCGAAATTCTCCACCTAAACTTTGATTATCTTTTGAAGAGATATAATAGTAGCTTATAGTAGGGAGAGCCGGCTGTAAATTCGACCGTCATCTGATAACGAAATGTTATACCGGGCGAGTCAATAGTGTATTCTCCTTGAATATTCGCCGAACTATCAGATATGTAGAAATACAGTGGCGGCTCGTGACTTTCATGACAGAGGAGGCTGAATGATATGAGATTTATTGTGAAAAACAACTCTCTACGACTCACCCAAATCAATAGCTTTAATGACATTCTGATTACCAGTTAGCCTGAACTTAATACTTGAAGAGATGTGTTCCTGTGATTTGCAGTGTCTATCCAATCCGCGAGGCAAATTTTTCAAATCGCAGTACCAACAAAATAGTTTATTCCTTACCTCAGATCCAGTCAGCCAGATATATTTCTTGTAATTATCAGAATTGAACGAACGATTTTGTTTGCTACCTGTTACAATCAGATTTTTTTTATTCCGGTGTCGGACGTTTGTTTTTCACAATCAATTTATCATAAGACAAAGCACTGAATGGGTTCACCAAAAAGTATTCCACTAAATCGCAATCGTTTAAAACACTCATTTTTTCAGAAATTTATAGAGCCCCTAATCATTAACCTAACATAAACATAAACAATGCACTCGCGCTGGATTGTCCGCAATGGACGTGTACACCTTAGTAGAACTTTTAACTTAAACCATGTTTATAATGATCCTTTTATACATAAATGATGATTGACGACATAATTCGATCGAAAAATTAACTGGAATGTTTTATTTTTGGACATCAATGATAGTACCTTCTGAAAACGGACCCTCTTATGACGTAGAAACCTCATCTCGCCATAGTTAAAAGAAAATACCAAACGCCCGACGGAGACTGTGGCAACTGATATATCAATCCTTTCAACTCGGGGATTTCAATAATTTTTTATAAAACGTAGGGAGCTCACAGAAAGAAACGGTTTGCGGTGGTGAGCTAGTTTGGGTGAGTTCTATCGAATTATGAAATGAAAATTTTTTGTGATGTAAGCCCATTCGCGACGCGACACGACATACACGTGCTATTCTGGCGTATTCGGGTATTTGCATTGCGCGCGTTGGTTGCGCATTGTGAAGGAGTCTAGCCTCCTATAGATGTTGCCAAGTTGAAAATTTCGAAACATAAATTAGTATAGTAATGATGCCTATGCCTACATTATACATAATATTGAAAATGAAATTTTAATATAGGTATAGTATGGAGCTGGCAGCGTCAAGGTGAAACAAGTTATATTGTCTAGTTTCATGATTTTCTGTATTCCTTATCAAAATGAAATTCGTCTTTAATTTTGAAATTTATGATTTATGAAATTTTTAAAGTTTATTCCTATATTTCAGCTAAAGAATATGTATTTGCTGATATGTTGGTGTATCAAATGGGAGACAATATAGTACTTTTAACGATTTTTTGAGACTATTGAAATAATTTTTTGAAAAAGATCCCCAAATATTTATTAAATAGTTGATGTGACTAGTATGAGAGTATAGAGAATCATTATTGCAATGTTCTTGTTATTTTTGGGACATCTTCTCAATGCACCAATGATTGGAGATGTGTTCTTTGTCAAAACATTAAATGAAATGAATATAGCTATTATATCCTCACCCTTGAGCTACTTTTAATACTTTTCACCTCCATCCTTTTTTAAAGGAAATAATCAAAATTTGAATGGTGTATTTTGAGTTTGGAGAAATGCTGACACTTTTATGAAGATATTCTCAGAAACCAGGAATCTGGAACAATATTCCCAGCAGAATTTCTGGCCTAAAAACTAAAGGGAATGGATAAGTGGTGTTAGTTAGGTAATACATATTTTTGGTTTGGTTCAATTTCGTCAACAGTCTAGTCTTTTTTATATAATTTGATACCGGCTCAGACGGTGATAGGGAGTTGGAAGGTGAATGAAATATTTTCATTAAAAAATAAACTGCTGTTGGGTCCGTATTGATTGACTGATCATGTCAACAAAGTTTTTGAACATAATCATAAACATACTGGTTTGATGATTTTGTACTCATTCTCGTTTTGAGCAGCTTTCAATGTGTTATTGCTTTTTATTTTGATTTATATCATTCCAGTACTTGGCATGTTTTTAAATATTGTAAAAATAATTCAAGGACTAAGTAATTTTATATCAATAACTCAACATTTTCCGAGATGCATTATTGGAGAAAATATTTTTTGCATCAGTTGTAAAGGAGAAACACCCTGTATATAGTATAAACTTTCAGGAAATAGGGAGCATTTTATCTCTTGTGTAGGTAATTTTTGATCTCAAGATAACTTTGTGTTGAACATTTAGATTTTGAGAGGTAATTTATTTTTCCTTATCTGTTTTTTTTCCTGCATATCATGAAGCATGTGAGGTACAATAAAAAAAAACGTTCACAATAATGTCATTTAATTTTTTCATCAGTATATTCATTATACAGGATACATATACTAATATACTATTATTCATAATGAAGAAGTAAAACTAGAAAAGCATAATATTATTAGTAAGCAAAACATTCCCATGTCAAAACCAAAATAAGGTTTTTTTATCCAATAGCTTACAGATAATATGGATTAATTTCATAAATATTCACCAATACTTCCAGTACCTAAAATAATATAATCAAAAAATAATATTTTTTTTGTTCACTCATCCTCCTACAAATGACTTGAAAAGTGCCTTTCTCGATTTTTTGGTATTAGATCAAGCCCTCTTCTCATGCGTCATTCTTCTCATTTTGTTCTTGTCTTCAGGGTTTCAACATAAAATAATGAAAATTTCATGTTCCCAACACTAAAAGACCATTCTAACCTTTTTTATTTTGCGGTTAAAGTGAACTCCATCTCTTCCTATTTTTAGTGTTGCCATCATGAAATTTTCATTATTTTGCTTTGGAATCCGGAAACAAGGACACATCACACGTTTCATTGCTAGTACCAAAATCGGCCTGCAATAAACCAACCTTGATGCTCTAAACATTTATAATTTCTAATATTTTCATCATAACATTCTCAACAAATGACCAAGTATTCTGCATTAAGCTGCGACCTCATGTGTTCAAGAGCCTTGTTGAAGAACAACAAACAAGAGTCAATTGCAGGAGTATTTAACTTGAAGAACCTACCATGTTTGCAAATCATGTCGTGAATAAGAATTTTGAGGAAATCTTATCGTTTGTGAGGTTTTTTTTCATTTATTAAGAGCCACGTTATGATGTGGACAGTTCCCTTCATCTGCTAAAAGGATATTTTTCGAGTCAACTGCCATTCTGATTGGTCTAAAAATTCTTAAATGATAATGTCAAAAGCGTAAAAGCAGTTTTCAATGCCTATGGGAACATAAAAAGTTCAGAAGATCAAGTTGAAGGATAAATGATCCATGAATTAGTAAACAAACAAAATTAGTCAATAGCAAGGGGTATACCGCGATCAAAATTAAACTTCAATTTCATAAGGAATTCCAGTTGTTTGTACACCAGAATTATACCTTACTTCACACAAGGAATTCCAAGAAACTCCAAAGAAATTCCAAGAAACTCCAAGGAATTCCAGGGAGTTCCAAGGAAATCCAAGGAATTTCAAGGAAATTCAAGAAATTCCAAGGAAATCCAAGGAATTACAAGAAAATCCAAGGAATTCAAAGGAAATCCAAGGAATTCCAAGGAATTCCAGTTGTTTGTGGACTAGGAATAATCCGCATTTCACCCAAGGAATTCTAAAGAATTCCAAGGAATTCCAGTTGTTTGTACAGGGTGGGCAAAATTCGGCGTTTTCACGGGCTATCTCAATAACTAAAGGAGTTATCAAAAAACCGATAAACATGTTACGGGTTCGATTTTGAAGAAACCTATAATGGCGCATTCGGAATTTTGATATTTTCATTCGTTTCAGAGATACAGGGGGAAATTGAAAAATAGTCGATTTCGTTTTTATTTTAGGAGTTCTTCATGGTGAGGAATATTGAGAATTTGCGAAAGTTTATTTATATACTATGACGCGAATAATTCATTGGCACCATTAGAAATTTTATGTAGGGTGACATTGAAAAGATACGGCATCCAATTATATTTTTTCTCATGGAACACTCCGTATATTTTGGCACAGTTAGATAGTCCCAGGCGTTTCAACTTCAAGTATGCATATAAGTCTACCTTTTTCTTTCACAACTTCAGAAATATTCACAAAAATATATTCATTGGCATCTCTCTCACAGTTGCGAATTTATGAATCCAACCTCAATGATTATTGCGGAAAATACGGAGGTGTAACCATGACACAGTGAAAATATTTTTGCGAATATTTCTGAAATTGTGAGAGAAAAAGGTAGAGATGTATATATATTTGAAATTGGAACGCCTGGGACTATCTAACTGTGCCAAAATTTACGGGGCAATTTTTCAATTTCCCCCTGTATCTCTGAAACGAATGAAGATATCAAAATTCCGAATGTGCCATTTTGGGTATCCCTAAAATCGAACCCGTAACATTTATATCGGTTTTTCGATGACTCCTTTATTTATTGAGATAGCCTGTGAAAACGCCCAATTTTGCCCACCTAGTACACCAGAATTCCACCGTGGTTTACCCCTCGGTCAATAGTAAAAAACGTGCCTCGATCATTTACACGAAAAACATGGGCAGATCCTTGCGAATCACGTCCTGTATGAGGAACCGCTGGCGCTCCCTGTTCAAATTATTCATATCCAGATTCTCGTTCTCGATGTAGACCTTCGCTCTGGCAGCGGCCAAATGCGCATAGTAGGTGGGCGCGGGGTAGCTCACCGATCGGTTGCATCGCGTGAACATGTGACACAAGTGGTAGGCCAACGCCTCCACATCGTCGTTGGACATATTGTTGTCGTCCCACAGAGTGCAGTATTTGGTCGGCTTGGCCACGCCTTGGATGCTGGCGTGCGACACCAAATAGAAGTCTTGCAGGAACGGGTGGGTTATGTCCTTGTCCACGCACGTACCTGAACGAATATAAAATACCCTCAGACTAAACGAACGATAGATATGTAACGGACAACTTGATTATTCCAGGCATTATTCATAATGGGGGAGACCACTGATTTTTTAAAACGACATTATCGTGTACTCTATACTAAAATACTACCAGCGAATTAATTTTGAATTTTGTCATTCATGCTAAGACGATGAAAACAATAAATTAGAATATATCCATTTCAAAGCACACAATTCCTGCGCCATTTGAAATTTTGTCAATTCATTGGTGTGACTGGTGCGACGTCTTAGTCCCAACACGCCTATCGTCCTTGAACTGACCAATCACACTGTAATACTGCAGCATGACGAGGTATCAGAGAGAGATAGCTACAGGTTGGGACTAATACGTCACGGCTCCATCATCATATTTGGCTGTTTGAAATATCGAATGGAATATGCTAATTTCAAAACTATATAGATTCGATTCCCTTCAACTTCAACTCATAATATTGATTGTACATCAAACGTAACTCATGATTCGTCGATTAAAAGAGGTTTGCACGGATTTCTTCTCAGTGGTCTTCCCCATTAGGAGTCAAGTCATATATCGCGTTCGGTATTTACATCAGACTGCTCCGATGAATCTGAATCGGTCGTTTATGACATCTAGATGTAGGAGAAGTAGATCTCATCCTCCGTTCGGCAATTAAAATCGGAGCGATCTGACAAAGATCTTAATGCTCGGAGAATTTTGACCGAGCAAAGCGATTGATCGGAATTTGTGAGGTTAATGTTCAAATGTTTATGTATGACTGGCCGTTGTGCTCGTTTTCGTATTTTCGAAATACAACTTTTTGATTCTGAGCAAGACAAAACACACACCTTCATGGTGTTAGATGAGAATTATTATGAAGAAAATGTTGCTTGAATTACAGGTCAGTAAAATGAGGCACTGTTTCTTCGGCAAAATGTTCAACTTTTTCCAAAGCACATCGTTCCTCTTCATCATCCTCATCAAAAATAATTTGATGTCCCGAAACAAAAGCTAGCACAGTTTCTGGTATACTCATATTGAAATGAAAATAAATGAAATAAATAAATGGGGTTAGGTTAGGTTACCGTCACACTGTCAACAAAATGTCCACTAGTCCACTTCGTTCGTTTATTGCCGATTGCTCCGATCGATCTGTGACCACGTGACTAGAATTTGCTCTAATCTGCAATGTAAATACCGAACGTGACTAAGTATGTTTGTCGGTTCAACCGAAAAGATACATATAAATATGTATCTTTTCGGTTGAGTCACCGAAAAACATCAAATATGGAGTCTGTATAATACCATTCTGCCAGCGATGCTTCGTATAGTGCATGATTTCGAGTGACTTCAGGAATTGTGGAAGGATTCTGCCGCCTGGTGTTTGATGAGAACTCAATCTCCCTGCCGATTGATCGACGGATGACCCGTTAGCTCAATTGACAAAGCGTTGGGCATGTAATCCAGACGTTGTGAGTTCGACTCTCACACGGGGAGGTGGAGTTTTTTCATTTTCCATTGTCACTCGAAATTAGGGCTTTTCATCTTTATCATTATTATTCATAATGCCCTAGCAGTTTATAAAGGGCCCAACACCATCGGGCAACTTAATAATTTTGAATTTGTCCACGAACATTTATTACATTGCCCGGTCATTATAAATACTGCTATTATTCTGGGCACTTTGATTAAGTCACAGCAATTTGGCAACGTGCGATTCTCGCTGGCCAATCAGCATTCATTTTTGATGGAGGTTCATTTATGCCCGGCCATTATAAATAATGCCCAATTATTTACATTGCCCGTAACAGATATACACCGCAATGCATTCATAAAAATGATACGCCAAACACGGATGAATGAATTAAATCACGAATGGTGGGGATAACTCTGCGGAATCATTGCCAGCGAATTGATATTCTTGGTGGGTTTGGTCACGCGTGTGACACCAAGTAAAAGTCTTGCAGGAACGGGTGGGTTATGTCCTTGTCCACGCACGTACCTGAACGAATATAAAATACCCTCAGACTAAACGAACGATAGATATGTAACGGAACACTTGATTATTCCAGGCATTATTCATAATTAGGAGTCAAGTCATATATCGCGTTCGGTATTTACATCAGACTGCTCCGATGAATCTGAATCGTTCGTTTATGACATCTAAATGTAGGAGAAGTAGATTTCATCCGTCCGGCAATTAAAATCGGAGCGATCTGACAAAGATCTTAATGCTCGGAGAATTTTGACCGAGCAAAGCGATTGATCGGAATTTGTGAGGTTAATGTTCAAATGTTTATGTATGACTGGCCGTTGTGCTCGTTTTCGTATTTTCAAAATAACGTTTTTATAATGAAAGAAATACAACTTTTTGAATCTGAGCAAGACAAAACACACACCTTTATGGTGTTAGATGAGAATTATGAAGAAAATGTTGCTTGAATTGCAGGTCAGTAAAATGAGGCACTGTTTCTTCGGCAAAATGTTCAACTTTTTCCAAAGCACATCGTTCCTCTTCATCATCCTCATCAAAAATAATTTGATGTCCCGAAACAAAAGCTAGCACAGTTTCTGTGTTGTTGTTGGTATACTCATATTGAAATGAAAATAAATGAAATAAATAAATGGGGTTAGGTTAGGTTACCGTCACACTGTCAACAAAATGTCCACTAGTCCACTTCGTTCGTTTATTGCCGATTGCTCCGATCTATCTGTGACCACGTGACTAGAATCTGCTCTAATCTGCGATGTAAATACCGAACGTGACTAGTATGTTTGTCGGTTCAACCGAAAAGATACATATAATGATAAAGATGGAAAGCCCTAATTTCGAGTGACAATAGAAAATGAAAAAACTCCACCGCCTCGTGACCTAACGGATCATCCGTCGATCAGTTGATGAAAAAAAAGTGCACCATTCAAGAGCTAAACATTTTCGAAGCCTAACTCACAAGAACGAAGGAATTAGCAAAAGAACAGCAGCACATATTCACAAAACCATTTGCCGCCCAATTCTTGAATATGCTCACCCAATATACATAAACACGAGGAAGACGGCACTGAACAATTTGGAAGTAGCAGAAAGAGCTAGCCTGAGAGCCATTACCAAAATCCCCTTCACCATCCATCAAACGAACTTCTATATCGGCTGACCAGGGTGCAACCAATTTCTGAGACTGAAAAAGCTAACCTTGAAGTTTTCTAAAAATGAATCCAATCTCCAAATTATCCAATTCCAGTGTTTACAGAGAGATCCAACAGTGAACCCAAGACGGAAGTTTCCGGAGAACACATTATTGGAATGCTCAATTAATTCAGAAGACTAGAATCCCTTCATAATTTTTGCCACACAATAGAAAGTTTGGCAGAACAGATGATAATTGAAATTCCCCAAAATTACAGTTTTGTACTGTCAAATTTAATCCCATTTGATTTGAGATTATGTCATGAATGTTATGATATTATTATTTCTGGTGCAAGTGCCGTTTTCTGTTTTCTGTCATGGAAGAAATCTTTAAAAAGTGTCGCCATCTTGCGGACAGCTGAGAACTATTATGCCATTATTGCGGAATCTGCGGTCAAGTGTTTTGGGAGAAACAAAACACTGTCTGTGATTACACCATATTCGATCCACCTTGAATTGAACTCAGACTAAATAACAATAAATTGACATCGCAATTCATTCATAAATCATTAAAAAGTACACGCCAAAAATCCTAGAAGTCAAACATGGATAAATGAATGGAATCAAGAGAATTGATATTCTTCAAATATCTTGTTGTCCAACAGTGCAGTAGTGAAAACGACTTCGAAAATTTTTGAAAATACAATGTACTTGATATACATTGTTGCATGTCACTAAAATAATGAATTGATTCTTCAAATTGTTGAATTTTTCGTAAAGGATATTCTGCAAACTACTATTGCATAAATAATAATTAAGGATACGACCGAGGTCCTTCAGCCTGTGTTACATAGTGATTATACATGGAGTTTAATTTCATCATTATAGTATGTAAAAGATGTATGGAATTATTAAATTGGCTAATGTAAAAAAAAGTCTATTGTGAGGCAAGAATTATGAAGGGATTTCAGTCTTCTGAATTGATTAAGCATTCCAATAATGTGTTTTCCGGAAACTTCTGTCTTGGGTTCACTGTTGGATCTCTCTGTAAACACTGGAATTGGATAATTTGGAGATAGGATTCGTTTTTAGAAAACTTCAAGGTTAGCTTCTTCAGTCTCTCAGAAATTGGTTGCACCCTGGTCAGCCGATATAGAAGTTCGTTTGATGGATGGTGAAGGGGATTTTGAGGGTGCCGGATTTTGGTAATGGCTCTCAGGCTAGCTCTTTCTGCTACTTCCAAATTGTTCAGTGCCGCCTTCCTCGTGTTTTATGTATATTGGGTGAGCATATTCAAGAATTGGGCGGCAAATGGTTTTTTAAATATGTGCTGCAGTTCTTTTGCTAATTTATTTATTCTTGTAAGTTAGGCTTCGAAAATGTTTAGCTCTTGTGATGCACTTTTTTTTCATCAACTGGGTATGATGGTTAAAGTTTAGTTTTTGATCTAAGTGCACTCCCAGATATTTAACTAATGCCCTAGTTCTCACTACATGATTGCATAAATTGAGCATAAATTATTGAATTGTTGAATGAATAGTGACGAATATAACCCCATAATCATGTCACAAATACTTAGTGGAAAATATAAATTGTGCAAGTGGACAGAAATTACCTGCTGGTACATTCATATTCTTGTCCTCCGAATCTCCACGATTCAGGGGAAACAGTCTCGTGTGATGTCTCTTCTGCACAACAAGGAACGTTATAGCCGGCTCGTAACCGTCGGCCTGGATTTTTTTGCATGCGGCTCTGATCGCTCTGATCTCGGAATGGATCACTTGCTCGAATTGCCCCTCTGAGACCCCATCTCTGAAGAACACAATTCTCTCGGGTTTCCTTTGCTGTGGAATAAAATTCACATTACTCTTTCATAAAGATAGACAGATAAATTTATCGGTGGTAATATACATTCAAGTTCTTGGGCAAGCCAGGAAAATTATCAATACAAAGGTACAAATATATAACACGATTGAGAACTGAACTCGAATGATTGCAGCATTCGCCGTTCATTCTCGTAGAAAATCACTGGTGCTCGTTAAATCGAATCAGAATATGCTTTAATGTCACTTAAGAATGTAATCCTTGTAGAAGTTGTAGACAAAGCTAAGTATGTTGTTTAAATAAGATAATAACATAATGTAATGTATACAACAAATATCAACATAAATACATTTTTTCACAAACATGTGCACACATAAGGCTCTGTCTAAAATACTTGTTCATAAAAATCCTCAACATTATATAACGCATAAGGGACTAACAAGTTTTTCAATTCCTTTCTGAATTTTTTCATATCAGAGGTAGATTTAACTGTGGTTGGAAGATGATTGTACATTTTCAGGCCATTATATATTATTCTCTTTCTCTCTTAATCTTTTATTAGTGAACTGCAGGGCTAGGGAAGCTTCACCATGTCTGACTGGTGTGTGTTGTAAAATGATTCCACGACTACGTTATTATCTCTGGTTTTGTGAATCAAACACACCGACTCTATAATAAACAAGGATACTACTGTTGACACACTGTGCTCCCTGAATAACTCTTTACAAGAGGTTCTTGCATCAACTTTGCAGATATATCTTAAGGCCCTTTTTTGTAAGATGAAAGTAGACTGTAAAATACAGTTATTACAAGTTCCCCAAAATGCAATTCAATACCTCAGATCGGATTCAATCAGAGCGTAATAGGCCGTCATCATAGCAGCAGAATAACCCAACTCGTTTGATATCACTCTGATAGCATAGCATACTGATGCAAGTTTATTGCATAGGTATGAAAGATGCAGATCAAATTTAATTTTTTTGTCCACAAAAAGACAAAGAAACTTTGTGCTCAATTTATTTTCGATAGTTTGATGCTACAGGGATATAAGAGACAACTCACATCGGAATGTTATCAGGTTAGTTTTCTGAATATTGATGGAAAGTAGGTTGGATTTGCTCCATTGATGAATAATTTGGATGTCTTAGGTTATTATAATTTGCCTCCACAGATCTACCACTCCATAATATGGTAGTGTCGTCAGCGAAGAGAGTTACTTTCCCGGATATATCCAATTTAGTCATATCATTGACATAAAGCAAGAACAGCAACGGCCCAAGAACCGAACCTTGAGGTACTCCATGATAAATCTCCGAGGTATCTGAGGTAACATTATTGATGCGAACCAGTTGTTTTCTATTCTTCAAGTATGTGTTCGTCAGTTCATCCACTGTAGGCTTGAATTACTAAACCTAAACAATATTCTATTCCTAGAGAGAGAGAGAACATCTTTATTAGGGATATACCCCAAAAGGCCATTGACCGAAGTCTTTCAGCCCAGTTATTCTATTCCTAAACTGCGCGGAGAAATGAAAATCTCAATAATTGGAAACTTATCCATTCTGAAACGGCAAAAATGGGTCACACTCACATTGTTCGATTTGTAGAAGAACATGAGCTGCTCCTCGACGATGGCCTGCAAATCCTCAATAATCTCCACCCTGGGCGGCTGCAGCCGCCAGCAAATATTGTACTTGAACGCCTTCGGCTCGTGGCTGGCCGTCACCGCGGCAACACTCGGTATATTCTGCGAATCGGGGCTCGGATGGGTGACGTCCGCCCCCATGATCATGCACGGCCTGTTCAGGATGGGCGGCCGGGTGAGCAGCACGTGATTGAGGCCGTTGAGCTTCGCGTTCACTTTCAGCAGGATGTTCATGACGGTCTGCTGGTTCATTTTGCGACTCAGAGTGATCTGGAGAAGAGAACAAGTGTGAGGAATTTATGACATTTATTCAGATCAATCAACTCAATATAAACATCTGGAAGGGAGACGGCCGTTCTCTCGAATAGCACAAAGTGGGTCAGGGGCAGCTGCAACAAAGATAGCATGATTTACGGTAACCTGTCTCATTCCTACTCGTGTTGTTTAATGGTGGATTGGTGTTTACGTTTTCTTTTAGCTAATGATTTGAGTAGTTTAGATTTTTTCCTCTCATCTGAACAGGCAGGAAAGTGAAGACATAAGTTCATTGTCTTTGGTTATGTGAAATATCTATTCATTTGGCGTGTTTTGTTTCAACAAAAGGACTGAATTTGTTGGGTGTGAACACTGTGAACTGATTGTTGAGAAGGTTTTTGATTTCATATCGATAAACAACGGTGATTTATTGGATGCAAGAACGTGCAAGACAAAAGGAAATTATCATTCCATGGGTAAGTTGAATATTGTTCAGATTTTTGGAAAATATAGTTCTTGAAATGATCATCAGTAGGTGTACAATGTTCCCAGTCTCAGAATATGTTCAAAAACTATACCTATATTATTTGTCAAAGTTAAATACTTCCATGACTCTTCCATAAACATATTAACTAATATTATTTGGATTAGGGCAGTGCCTAGAGAGAATTGGACTCCATCTAAAACCAGCAAGCTTTGTGGAGAGCATTTCCTATCAACTGATTATTTATTTAGACTTACCAGGTACTACTAGGTTATTGAAACCAGATGCTGTACCCAGTATATTATTATCATTCCCAAGCATTTGTTACCAAAAAATGCTGATCCTCGCAGTAAAATAAGAAAACTCATAGGTACCTAGTTGATTAATAATGAAAAAAAGTATGTTGGCACCTCTTTAAAATGAAATACTAGCTAGTAATTTATTTTTAGGAATCATCTATGGACGTTCATAACTTGGGTCCTAAGGAAGATGTTTCTCATATTATGGACTATGACTTCCAGCTCCCAAACTGTTCCATTGGAGAAGGATATTGTATTGAGAATTGTATTTTTTCAATTTCTAATAGGGGTTTGTAGGCAGTGACCTAATGGAAAAATAGGAACCTATGGAAATTATGCTCAAAATGGACCTTTGGTACTCAATACGATTCAAGAACCTATTTTAAAATTTTTCCTATCGTTTTTTTTTTCTTCTGATAGTTCTGATACATTGTGCTTTCTCACCCTGTATAATATATTGTGACATTTGGATAAAAATATATAATTTCAATTTTGTATTCATTTGACTTCCTAATCCTGTAAGAATAAAAATGAAATTTCATTTTTAAGTCAATAAAAAATTCAATAATATTTTTTTAATAATTGATTGCAATAATATCCTTTTTTCTAAATGAATATTTTTATTTAATCACGTTTACCACTAAATAAAAGCAAAAAACAAGATATTATTTCAAATAATGCGAGCGCTTCCCATTATCCAACATAAGATAGAAAGAGATAGGTATCCGTAAACACTGCGGGTTGCCTGAACAATATTTTTGCCTCACTCGTCGTTCACAGAGGGTCCCTTCCAGTAGTTTTAGAGTTCATTGATTCAGATTGAAACCTGCGATGAAACCTTAGACCGTACAAGATCCAATGAACTCGATATAAACATCTGGAAGGGACACTGCCGTTCTCTCGAATGGGTTGCGTGCAAGAACTGTCAGATGATCGACCCAACCTCACTTTTCTTATTTGTTTACAAGTGATTGAAATAGTTTTTCACATTGTCTGCTGAATATGGAGAGAAGTTTCTGTGGCCGATACAGTAGTGTCGCCATACGGTCAACTCGAGGAAACACTCATTTCAATTGTTTTTCTGTCAAACCTACATAACCTTGGAAAACGTAAACGAGTTGAGCAGCTCCCACAGCGGTGCTCTCGGCAGTCTCGGCCGGCGGCGCAGTTTGTTCAGTGAGATTGAGTTCAGTATCACGACATAGTCACTCAGTAACTCGAAAATTAAAGAAATCATTTCTTCTCAAAATGGTGGTTACAGACACTACAATAGTCCCCAATTTCGTAATGTTCAACACCTAAATTAAATGAGAGGTAGTATCAGTGGTATCGATTATTAGCTTTCAATCAGGGCTCTGATTATCTTACCTGTAATCAGCCGTTTTGATCGATAATGAATAGTTTTGACACAGAAAAATCCTAAAATTGAAAAATCTCGATTTTGAACACCCTATATCTCTGTAATCATTGCTACTAGACCTCAAGTGTGATACATTGATAAAATCAGCTGTTCAGGAAGAAGCTAAAAATGCAATAAAATACAGGGTCTTCCATTTGAAATAACAATTAAATTTGCTAGTTGTTTCTGATAGAAGTGGTAACACTGTATTGATGAAAATATTTCAGACTAATAGAGAATGTTCAATCATCAAAGCATTCCAATTTTCAGAATGTTCTGTCTTTTCGTTCTCCAGATACTTCTAATAGGCCATCCACCGTGGATCACCCTGTATATGTATAAGAAAATAAACGAACGAAACGTTCATTACACCCCACCCCCCGTATACGTACTACCGATATCGGAATTAGTCGTACTCGTTCGGGAATTATATCGGTTGAAAGGATGACGTAACTAATAAGTCATTTGAATGATATGAATCAAACCAATCAGCAGTCTCGTTCTAGACTTCATCGCGTACAGTGGATTAAAGTGATTTTAAAAAATGAACTCGGAATTATTCAAGAGTGCAAAATTGGAATTCATATTCGGTTCAGTGATAAGTGTATTCTCATTTGAGTGTGTGAAAGTTGTATGTTTTCAAGATGGTAAGTGTTTTCGTATAATATATATGTATATGGAGGCATTCATCGCATGTGGTTGGTATTTTGCTTCCGTATATTTCCATATAACGATAAAACAAATTTGAAATTCGCTTTCTTTACCTATTTATACAGAGGATCTAGATGGATATTAATATGACAAGTTGCGAAAATATTCGCAATTTCGTTATGAGTTAACACAAATATTTTGAAATTTCGTATTTATTTAGACGGAATAATTCAATTTGTTAACTTATACAGAGGTACTAAAATTAGGCATTGAAATGAGTATATATTTATATACATTTATATATAAATAACTATTTATATTCAATTAATATTAGTAGCTGTATAAATCAATAGATTAGGTATAGGGTTTGTGGGGATGCAGCTGATGTGGGACTCAAAAGAAAACTCTTTCTACTTTTGAGAAAGCTTTAGGAATTTATTCAATTCCTTCGTCAGTCTCTCTAAAATGAAATGTACAATTATAATATTCAAATGAAATGGGTATTAGAAATTACTTACAGTTTATGAGATTGTAGAATTGCAAATCAGAATAAGTAGTATAAAATTGTAAAAAATGCATAAATTCATAGATATAAAACTAATATAACTTTGTCAAAGTGACAATATGTAACATGAAAAAATACATGGGGTTGAGTCCCACATCAGCTACATCCCCACAAACCCTATACCTAATAACTATTTATATATACAGGGTGAGCCGGGAGGAACGCACCAAACTCCAGGTGTGTATTGTACAAGTAAAAATAATTTGAAAAAAAAAAAACTTATGTTCTGATACGATTCTCGTTTGTTTTCATGTCGAATTTGAATATATTTGTGGCATTTTATAAGACTTTAACTGTACAAACTCGATTGTTTCATCTTTTTTGTTGTTCATATGTGTTCGTGTCAGTGTCAAGTGTGTTTGACGCGTTTATTTTCGAGTTTGTACGATTGTCTTATAAAATGCCACACATCTATCCAAATTTAGATTGAAAACAAATGAGAATCGTACAAAAACATTTTTTAAATTAATTTATACCTGTACAATACATACCTGGAGTATGCTGCGTTCCTCCTGACTCGCCCAGTATATAACTATTCGAAATTTGTATACTATTCTTCAACACATGAAATTTAATGGAACCTTACCGATGAATCGAAGTTTGAATAATATCTATAAATAATATTGTCAGCATACCATAAATTTTCAGTATGACAAAACATCGTATCGAAATTCAAAATGTTAAAAATAATGTATACTTCGGTGCTAATAGCCATATACAGGGTATGTCACGACGAGCTTACACTATCTTTATATCGAGAATCAGTCGGGAGAAATCCATGAAAATGTGCATGCTAATATTTCAGAATACGTTCTCTTCATTTGAAATATTTTCGACAATGCAGTATTGCCGCTTCTACTAGAAAGTAGTAGCAACATTGATATTTCGAATGGAATACCCTGTATTTTATTGCATTTTTAGTTTCTCCCTGAAGATCTGATTTCATCAATATATCACACTTGGGGTATATCGAAAATTATTACAGAGATATAGGGTCTTTAAAATGGGGATTTTTCAACTTGTAGGACTTTTTTTGTATCGAAACTATATTCAGCATCGATCAAAACGTCCTTATCTCAACTATCGATTCACTATTTACTGATATTTAATCGGAACAGGTACAGGGTGGTTCAAGATTCAGAATTCTGTCTCATTTGAAAAACTCATCATCAGTCGATATCTTGGAATTCGTACACCCTATAGATATGAAAATAATTGTAGGTGATATAGTAGTCATGAAACTGTTTGAATTTGAACCCCCCTTTTCTCCTTCGGCTTTCTAGCTATATCTCTGGAATTTGGAACATCATATATGCTTGCTAGAGGGCACTTCCTCACATTTTAGGAAATTGTTTTCATCTTCCGGTTTTCTTAGAAATGACATCAACTTTCGATTTTCAAATGGAAAACCTTGTATTTTATTCCATAATCGGTTAGAGATTATTAGGACGAATTCAAAAATACCGGTTTGATTGGGTTATTATTTCAAACTATTACGAAGATATTCACGTTCGAAGTTTCCATAAGATCAATATGGGTGTGACGGCGCAATATGGAAATTTTTTTCTCCGATTTAAAAATTTGAAAAATAATCTACAATGATTATTCAGAAATGTT